ATAAAAATTATGAACAAAGTATACTCATTTTCCAAACTCTCAGAGTTTACGGATCCAAATTTCGACTTACGGTGATTTGTCTATAATTTTTCTAAAAACAGGGACAGAAAGGTCAAAAACAAGAAATTATTTTTATCATGCTAAAAGCTCTTATACATGTTTTAGATGCAAGTTTGTATAACTTATATATACTTTTAAAACATCTAGACATGTTAACTTATATGTACTTAATATATATATATATATATATATATATATATATATATATATATATATATATATATTTACGTCCTTATTGGGCCTGGAAATAATATACATGTTTAGTGGGCTTTAGTGTCCTTTTACATGCTTAGTGGGCCTTAGTGTCCTTTTGCATGTTTAGTGGGCCTTAGTGTCCTTTTACACGTTTAGTGGGCCTTAGTGTCCTTTTACGTGTTTAGTGGGCCTTATTTGTCCTTTTACATGTATATTGGGCCCGGGATATATATAATCTCATTCCTTTTGAGCCTAGAAATACTTTACATGCTTAGTGGGCCTTAGTTGTCCACTTACATGTTTATTGGGCCTGGAATATACCTTATATGTTCTTCTTTCTTTTTCCGCGTAAATTTGATTAAGGATCTAGTGAGACGTGTCGCTTGACACCTATTGAGTGTACGATCGTAGCCTGTAGTTATAACCAGAGTCTCTTAGAGGGAGAGCGTGAGTTTGTGTATAGATCTATACAGGGGTGACGCCCCACACCTGAGCTGTTCGCTATAGTTAGACTAAGCCAGTCTAGGGTGACAAATTTGGTCGTTACAGTTAATGCACATCTTTGACAAAAATCTCAAAGCCTATACCTCACATCACGATACGGGGCCATAAATCCTCTAGTGTGTGCATACGCGACATCACAAAGATAATATTTCTCTGTAAAAATGAAAAACACTAATCAATTTTCAAATTAAAATAAAAATATTTAAAAACCAAAAACTTACCTGGTGGTGGAAACGGAAATGATGCATGTGGATAGGCTAATGTTTTTGATAATATTATAGAATCATGCGCTACCCCTACCCAACCGGCCACAACAAACATAAAAATCATGGTGAAGTCACAAATTGCCAATATGTTTTGGTAATAATTGCTCTTTACCATACTTCTATATAAATCTTGTTTCTTAGCAGAGACAACATCATGCATTAAAGTGTCATCAAGTGCACCAACCGCTCATTTGAAAACCCGTCGTAGCCTATTATTATGTCCTGGAATGTTTGGATTCAGATTAAAAAAAAGTTGGAACTATAATGTCTTTTGTGAAAAACATCATTTTGCCCAACACTTCATAAAAAAATTTATGAATTGTTTGATTTGAGTGTTGAAATCTCCGCTTGACAATCACGTAACTTTGATTATGACCGATCATCATAAAAAACATAACCATCTTTTCCTCAACCGATACATGTTTACTATCATTTATTGAGTAATTTACTCTATAATGAACACATAGTCGGACAAAAGATTCACGGGACATGCATAATATTTCAATACATTGTAAATGATTACGTTGCATTAACTATAACGTGTATTTGTGTCCCGTCATTTCCGAATCATTGTCCCGCACTCGTTTTACACCCTTCTTCCAAAAATAACGGACATACAACTACATAAGAATTACAAGAAGTATCTTTTGATCATGATCCATTATGAACCTATTAATCAACAAAAGTAGAACTTTAAAAAAAACATTACATTAACCATATTTCAAGTAGCAAAAAAAACATTACATTAATCATATTCCAAGTAGCAAAAAAACATTACATTAACCATATTCCAAGTAGCAAAAAAACAACACTTAAAAACCTAAAAAATAGTTATAACACAAGCAAAAAAAACTTCACCAATGGTTTCAACACAAGAAAAATCATCGGACAATCTTTCCATCCTTTAAAACTCCTAAATGTGTACCCATCATCTCTATCCATCCTCGTAATATCTCTGGAACATTGGGAAAATTCATCCACATCTCTCTCATATTCATGGTCCCTCCAAGCGTAGATGATCTATAGGGCCAAACTCAAGCACCTCTAACTTCTCTAAACATTGAGAAATTGTATATCCTTTAGTCAAATGTTGTAGAGATTTTTTCATTTCAAATGCTAAATCATCAATAATAATAGAAGGTCCATCATGTGAGACACTAGGAGCTCTAGGAGTTGAGGGTTAAGCCCTTTTGCAAATATTTTGATTTCCTGATAAATGATTTGGTTTTTAAAAGTAATAATATGGATTTAATCGATTTAACTTGGTTTTCGAAAATGTAGTTACTTTCCTTTTCTCTCTTAATAAAACGTCATACTTACTATTTAATAAGCTTACAATTGATCAATTGTAACTATATTGTAAATGCTACCTCATGTTAACATCATGCACCCTAAGATCATAATTATTTTTTTAATCAAATGGTCATAATTTAGTCGTACATTCACACAATACTTATGATTCACATTTGATATTAACCCTATATGATTCTCTTAATAAAACGTCATACTTACGATAAAATTGTCAGATTTTTTTTTCAAATATAGTCATCCCGTGTATTTGGCTTTCAGATTGTCATATGCGTTTTTCATTTGTTTTTGAGTCAAATCCACGCTAAATTTTTCCTTAAGAACTCTTGCAAGCCTAATACATAAATCTTTGTGCAAACTCAATCATTTTCTACCCACATTCTCTACTTATTCAATACAAGTTTCCAATAAGCATTTTAAATGCTCATTGGTCCATTGGTGTTTTTCTCCCATTTCTAATAACCAATATATCCTAGACAAATAAGATTTCATAAGGTATTATAGCATTCACAAATATGATTTAGAGTATTGCATATCATACACATTTCAACAAAAATGAATTTAACATGTATATCATACACATTTAAGCAAAAAAAAAATCAACAACAAATTAACATAATTATTTAAGCAGTAAAGAGTATTTTCAACAAGAATCACAACATTAACATAATTATTTCATATTTCGAACAAATACTTTCATATTTTAATAAAAAAAAAAGCTTGATTTCACCAATGTTATGGAATTTCCAGCAAAATACGTCAAAGATTATTGATTTTCAGCAACATTCAACAAGAAATTTAAACAAGAAAGGTTATTTTCAACAATATTTTCGGATTCCCAACATCTAACAACAAATTTAAGCAATAACAAACATTTTCAGCAAAACTAAACAACTTATTTCACTAAATTGGAGACTTTTCCAACAAAATTAAACAACAATTTCATGTTAGAATTGAAAAAAGAAAATGAAACAGAGGAACAAACCTTTTTCGTTTAGTGAAGTCCGACAGTCTCGTTTAGTCGGTTGATTGGAGAGGACGTCGGTCTGATCGGACAGGGGAATACGACAGATGAAGAAGACCGGTGGTCGAGTGAGGCAAGGAGCAGTCGAGGGGTGGGAGGTATCAGGGGAGGCGATGCGCTGAAGAGAAAAGAAAACAAAATAGCGGCGTATTTTTTTTAGGTCAAAAGCCCGTAGATCTTAGAAGTGGGTAATCCATGTCTGTGAGGTGAAGACCTCGTGCAAACATTTTTAGATCTGTGCACTTCGAAAAAAACAAACACTTTGTGAAGATATATGTATGTGCGTTTGAGAAAAAACAAACAACACCTTAATATTATCGAGAAGTGTGACAACATACTAGACATAAATTACTAGGTTCACGGAATTAATGTATATCACAAAAATTTAACGAGCTTACTTTATTAGAAAGAGGTGTCTCGCAAATTCACGAGGTATTTTGTTGTATTGATGATTATTTTCTTATTTATCTGGAGAGCAAATCTGGGAAGGATACCGGCAGCCACAGAACTATCTAAGAGAGGTATAACCTTAGAATCAACCTAATGTGGATACTTTAAGGCGATGGATGAAAGCCCAAATCACATCCTACTCAGTTGTACCTTTGTGAAAACTGTATGAGAATGGATCTGGAGATGGTGCAACATGCCTCACATTCAACTTAACACGGTGGGAGAGCTGATCGACTATGCAACAAAACAAGGCATACGCAGGAAGAAGAGGAAAGTTATGATCAACATATGCTACGATACACTTTGGGAGATTTGGAAGGCTAGGAATGAAAGGATATTCAAAAAACTTATCACTACCCCCACAAAGGTTGTTGATAACATCCAAACGACGGTATACACTTGAATGAAATACAGGAGCTCGACAATAGTTTATGAATGGGCTACTTGGTGCTCATGTCCTATTAACTAATCGAATTCCAAATGTAATGCAATATGATATGAGAATGATGTAAACTGGAACTCTACTATTCCCTCTAGCTCCTTGCTAGTCGGGGTCTTTTTTTTGTTTTCTTATAATAGATTTGTCGGTTCCGAAAAAAAGATTATTTTCTTATAAAATATTAAAATGTAATTATTTTGGTTTAGTGGGTTTTCAAATATGATATTTTAGTGAATAGTTCTAACAAAATATTATAAAACGAGTTACCTCTAACGCCTCGTTCCCGAGTTTAACAAAAGAAAAGAAGAGAAGAGAAAAGAAAGTCATGAGAGAAAAGAAGAGAAAGGAAAGGAAAACAATTTTTTTTTTTGTGTTCCCGAGTTGGAGAGAAGTGGAAGGAAAATGAATCATTTTGTTATTTCTTTCCAAATCCTCCCAAATCGAAAGGAAAGTTAGGAGGGAAAATGATCCTCCCATTTCTCTCCACTTCCTTCCACTTCCCTCCTTTAATGAAAGAGGGGAACACCAATTTCTTTTATTTCTTCTCATTTCCATTCATTTCCTTTCCTTTCTCTCGTTAGGTTCAACTCGGCAATTTCCACTCATTTCATTTCCTTTCTCTCGTTAGGTTCAACTCGGCAACGGGATGTAAACGATTAAACCATAAAAGTAGTAGTGATGTCAACGAAGGGGTCTTGAATTGTGTTTTTATTTTTTAAAGACATCAACGGTCAAACTGATATAAATCCATACTCTAGGGGCTATTTTTCCATCTTTTTGGATTAAACCCATCCAAAATCAATCCCCCAAAATTTTGACGATGCTCTCCTGTGTTCTTCCTATGAGCACCAATCCCATTTCTATCAACAAATCAACCATTAATTTGACATAAATATGGAGATTTTCCCTGTTCCTACTCATCGGGTTCAAACGATTTTCTTTACAGTATCGCCACCTCCACTTCCCTTTTCAACCAGACCAATCAAGAATTCTCAGTCTCCATCTGCAACTTCTGCTACTACTGCCAACAACAGTACAACACTTCGAAGTCAAACTCCCAATGGGCCGTCATTCAATTCTTCCCCGAAACACAAAACATACGTCTCAACCTCCCACCAAGCTAGACAGTCCGCTATTATTGATATTCAACAATCCCCTGATTTACATTTGGCTCTATCGAGGTAATTATCTCAATTTTGAGGTGAAAAATTAGCATGGATTCGATTACAAACTTAATACCCTTATATTTAGAATTAGTAAATAGTAATTGCTATAAAGTCCGCAGTTATAAAAAATTTCATCCGAGTTGATGAAATGTATGCCAATTTGGAATTTAACTAATTATAATTATAATGTTATATGAAAATTTCACGGTATGTAGGTCAGCAGGTGTGCTGAAAGTGCAAGACCTCAATCTCGTTATGCGCCACTTTGGCAAGCAAAATAGATTGAAGGATCTTTCTCAGGTTCTTCCAACTTAACCCTTTAACCCTCATGAATAGATGCAATACTATGGACATTTTCAATTTTCTGAACCTAGTTATTGTGTTTGTGTAGTTATAACCTTATAATATGTGAGTGATTAGGGTGACATTAGCTCATGTTATCAGTTATAAAAGTTTAGTTTCACTTGAGTCTACTTCACATTGATTGCTTTATAAGGATACCCAAAAGTCAAAGGGTGTCTTCTTTATTTTTTCTCTATTAGGTCTTTCTTTCTGCATTTAATAAAAAAGAAACACCCATGTATGGCTTACCAGATTAAGTATTGTCTTCATGAAGTCTATTGAGCATAAAGAAACACCACCGATGAGTCTTTATGTAAAACTAAAAAAAAAACTTTTGTGTTAGCTTCATCTCTTGATGAGTGTTCTTACAGTCAATATCTACTCCCAAGATTTAAGAACTAAGCTACAGTTCATACATTTTCTTACATGTTTCAAATCCATTTCCAATAAATGATACTATGTATGAAATTGTTTGGAAACACTGCAGCTTTTTGAGTGGATGCAGCAAAATGGGGAGCTTAACTTTGCTTCTTATAGTAGTTACATGAAGCTCATGGGGAAGAGCCTCCATCCTAATAAAGCACTGGAAATATACAAGGGCATAGAAGATAAATTAACCCGAGTTAATCCATCTGTTTGTAATTCTGTTCTTGGCTGTTTAATTAAAAGTGGCAAACTTGAGAACAGCTTTCAACTTTTTCATCAAATGAAAGAAGATGGTTTAGTACCAGATGTCATTACTTACAGTACGGTATGCCTATAGCTCTCATTGACATCAGTCACAGTCACAGTCAGAGTCAGACACAGACTCACAGTCATAGTCACAGTCACAGATCATGAAATTGTCTTTTTTTGTTAATAGCTACTTGCAGGCTGTGCTAAAGTTCAAGATGGTTATAAAAAAGCAACAGATTTGGTTCAGGAGCTCAAGTACAAGGGTTTACAAATGGATAGTGTTATTTATGGGACACTTATATCTGTTTGTGCTTCATGTAACAAATGCAAAGAAGCAGAGAGTTATTTTAACCAAATGAAGACCGAAGGCCATGTTCCTAATGTGTTTCATTACAGTTCTTTGCTTAATGCTTATTCAATGGATGGAAACTATGAGAAAGCTGAGGAGATACTTAGAGAGATGAAATCAGCAGGGTTAGTTCCAAACAAGGTTTGTTTCATATGCTTCATTGCCTTCAAACATTGTATTATAATTGTATAATTTTGCTTACAACTTAGAGATTGCAGGTTGTTTTGACAACTTTATTGAAGGTGTATGTTAGAGGAGGCTTGTTTGAGAAGTCAAGAGAGTTGCTAAATGAACTAGAAGCCCTTGGCTATGCTGAAGAAGAGGTAATACACAAGGGCAATTTTGTAAAAAGTTTAAAAGAAAAAGAAAAAGCATATAAAGTCAATCTTAATTCTTGCCTAAATGGCTAAATGATTATTTACAAAGCATTGTAATTTCATTTATAGATGCCATACTGTTTGCTAATGGATGCTCTATCAAAAGCTGGACAAATTGATGAAGCTAAGTTGGTTTTTAGTGAAATGAAGAGAAAAAATGTGAAATCAGGTGTTTTTTCTTGAATACTTCCAAAAACGTTTCCATTAACTTGACTTGTGAAGTTTTTGAATCTAATTATTTGATTCTGAAATGATCCCCAGATGGGTATTCCTACAGCATTATGATTTCAGCCTTCTGTAAACATGGGCTCCTTGAGGATGCAAAGGAATTAGCATTAGAATTTGAAGCCAAATATGAAAAATATGATGTGGTTATATTGAATACAATGCTGTGTGCCTATTGTAGAAGTGGAGAAATGGAGAATGTGATGAACTTGATGAAGAAAATGGATGAATTGGCAATTAATCCTGACCGAAATACTTTTCATATTCTGATAAAGTATTTTGCTAAAGAGAAGTTATATATGCTTGCTTTTAAGACCATGGAAGATATGCATAAGAGAGGCCAACAACCAGATGAAGTATGTTCCCTTTTCTCTATTTGATCTCTCTCTCTTTTAAAAAACAAAAAAAATTGTAGCTTGTTCGAATCCCATGAAATTTTGCATAGGTTTGACTTAACACATTGTGTACATATAATGCCATTGTATTTATAGGAACTTTGTTCCAATTTAATGTTTCATCTTGGTAAAACCGGGGCCCATTCAGAAGCATATACTATCTACAATATGTTGAGATACAGCAAGAAACCAATGTGCAAGGATCTTCATGAGAAGATTCTTTACATCCTCATAGCTGGCCGACTTTATAAAGATGCATATGTTGTGTTCAAGGTAACATTATTTTTCATTTATAAAAAAAAATATATATTTTCTTGATTTCACTTGTTAATGTATATATATAATCCATTATATATTATTTAGGACAATTCAAGGTTGATCTCTCGACCCGCTTTGAAGAGGTTTGCTAGTTCGTTTATGAGATTCGGTAATATAAATTTGATAAATGATGTCATGAAGGCTATCCACAACTCGGGCTATAACATTGGTCAGGTAAATTATTCTATATATAACATTGTTTCTTAAATTATTTTCTTTCTGACTTAATCTAGACAAAAATGGCTTAATGGGTTTACTTGTATCTCAGGGTTTGTTTTCCATGGCAATATCGCGCTACATAGCTCAACCAGAAAAGAAGGATCTTCTACTTCAATTGCTAGAATGGATGCCTGGTCAAGGCTATGTTGTTGACCCATCCACACGAAATTTAATATTAAAAAACTCAGATTTATTGGGACGCCAACAGACGGCTGAGATTTTGTCAAAACAACACATCATGTCAAAAGCATTAAAAACACGTGATATAAATAAAAAATGAAAAGATTTCATATATTCCATTGTATCCCCACATGGTTATCACCTTTTTTTGCAGTGTAACATTGTGATTTATCTTTTCTATGTTCTTTTCTATGTTGGCTGTTTGATAAGATTGATAAGATGGATGGTAGGCCCAAGGTTTAAGATTACTATTTCTACCAAAGGATTGCAAAAGGTGAAAACATATAACAAACATGGTAGACTTTTGATGCCATGATCATTGATTCATTGCTACCTAAGTTGTAATTGAAATATGTAAATTTACGATAGATTCGATTCCAAATTTCTCATTCTTACGAGTTGTTACAAGTGGAGTACATGAGTGAACCGCAGGTGAAAATCATTGCAAGGCTTTAAATCTGTGATTTCTAAAACCTGGAGGGTGTTTTATGTAATTTGTTTGCAATGATATATGAGTATCAGAGCCTGCGTTCCGGTATCAAAAAGCTTATAGCCTAGCAGTATAAAGAGTTACAAAATGTGTTTCTACTCCAAGTAGTTGAGAGTTCAAGTCTAACAAAAAACAATTGATATAGTTTATGATTAGATTAGGAGATGATAAAAAATGATGGAACAATTTAAATGCAAGAAAAAACTACATTCATTTCATTCTATATATAACAATGTAGGGTGTTGCGTAAAAAAACAACCATGTAGGGTGTTATTAAATGCAAGAATAAAAACTACATACATTTCATTTGCGTAAAAAAATATAGGGTGTTAAGTTCTCTATTATGTCAAAAAGAAAGTGCCTTAATTACTCAACAATATTAGGCTTTACAAATTTCCCATGTATGAGTGTTAAACAACCAAACACGTACACTGGTATGACTTAGGATGGACGTCTAGATGGAGTCATAGCGGGGTGAGGGTTTCTGAGAGGAGGTACCGGGCATATCTTCATAAACATTATTCATTGGGGTGTGGTACCACTACATTAAAATGGTATAACAATAATTATAAGAAAATACAAAAAAAAAATAAAATGGTATAATCGTCTTTTTAAGTTTTTTTTGGGACCAAAATCACAGAAATTTATGATTTTGGACATTTCATGCAAGCTGAAAACTTTTTGGACCCTATCCAAAGTTTTTTGAATACCACAAAGACCAATCTTGCACTTTTGTCTACGGATAAATTTTGTGGGTTGAGAGAGAAAATGATAGGAATGACAAGAGAGATAAATGTCCGGCGCCTAGATGATATGTAGGTTGGAAGTGATGAGAATGATAGAATCCATCCACCCTTATAAATCATTCAAACAATATAGCATTCTTCACAAGGAAAACATGCTCACGTCATAAAATATGTAGCTCATAAAATAGACGTATAAGCAACAATTTCAATACGATGAATTAAAATAAAGCAATAAATCAACCTTGAATTTTTGAATGCACAGCCAACCACCACCAACAAACAAATTAAAATCACTAAAATCAAACAAAATATCTTATTAAGATGAGTTAGTAAAATAGATGATACGGTATTCTAAGCTAGAGGTGCGCAAAAGCGGTCTAGGTCTTGGAACAGTCCGTTTTTTTTCGGACATGTCTCGTTCTAGATCAGTTCAACGAAAATCTTTGAGTTGGTTTTTTTCGGTCCAAGTTTCGATTATACATTTATAACTGTTTGATCTGACAAATATTTATGTGTATATATATATATATATATATATATATATATATATATATATATATATATATATATATATAATGAAGATGTTTTGAGTTAAAAGGAAAATAGTAAAAAAAAACTTTTAAGGAAAAAAGTAAACAAAAAACATCATAAGGAAAATTATAATACAAGATTATGATTCAAAATGGTTTATTCTTTTTTAGTAGCGGTGTAGAAACAGTAAGTCTTGAATGATTTAGTCTTATTTAGTATTGTTTCGTTCTAGACTGGTTCAACATTAGAGTATATTTTTCAGATCAGTGCAATTATACAAAACTCAATAGGTCCTACAAACACCCCGCAACAGGAGCATTGTAAGGAGCTTATTGGTCAAATAAGCTCTTATAAATATATTTTCTTTATTAGAGTTTAATTAATCCATTTTTTCAAATAACTTATAAATCTACAAGCTAGTTTTTTTTTCAATAATCATGGTGGTTTTCATAGATTTTACCACTACTTTTATTATTATTATTATTATTATTATTATTATTATTATTAGTATTATTATTATTATTATTTATAGATGTCATTCATATTTTTGAAAATTTTCAGAAAAACAATTCATATTTAAAAATCTTCTTAAGAAATACAAAAAATATGGAATTTTTTCTTCTGGAATACAATACAATGTAATATTTGATCATGAAAAAGTGTGTTAATAATGGGTGAGAATGGTTAGGATTTTAACTAAAATCAAAATCCAAACAAAAGTTGTGTTTTTAACTTTTAAAATACCAAACCAAACAATTTGATTTTTTGGTTTTTTGGTATTGATCCGTTTTTGTTTTATTTTGTTTTGTTTTTTTTAGTATGGCTTCAGTTTTTTTTGTACACCCTTATTAATTACAAACCTCAAATTTTCTTCGGTTATAAGACAATCTACATATCTCATAATCTGTTATCATAATAGTTTGAAATTATATAGAAAATATCATAAAAATGATATTTTATGATAACTCAAATATTATATTTTCTACATAATTTGAAACCATGGTGATTCCACCTCATAAGGTATGTCATATGCCTTGTGATAAAAGGAAAAAAAAGGATGTTGGTGGTTAAAAAAGACGTGAAAATTTTAAAACAATACCAATCTCAACTATAGTGGTTAACAAACTTTGTCCATGGTTAGAAATTAGTTTGTATTTTAAAGAAAATGATGTTTTTTTAAACTTTCTAAAAATTGAACGGGTTATTCTAAAATTATTTAGAACTATGATGTATTCTTCTGAAAGAAAAATAAATAAAGCAGTGGCTTTTCATATAAAGTTTTGAAAAACGTAATAGATTTTCTAAAATTTCTAGAATATAAAAAATAACAATAAAATTGGTGGGTTCGATGAATGAGTTGATGGAAAAGCTCTCATATTCTTAAGATTGTTTTGAGCTTTTTAAATTGATAAGTTATGATTAGATGTAAAATAAAAACTTAACATATAAAGCTTTATTATTGTGTAGGAGTGAGATTGATTCCAAAATCGGACCGAACCGAAACGAATTAGTATAAAAAACGAAGAACCGAATTTATGGTTATGGAGGAACCAAGAACCAAACTGAATTAAATATCTGTTTCCCAATCAATTTCGGTTTTGGTTCAACTCCAACGAGTATTTTGCTCACTCTTAGTTGCTCCGAACTAGAATTGCAAAATCGAAAACCAAAAAACAGGAAAATCTAGAATTGAGAAGGGAACAAATAAACATATTTGGTCCTAAAACTGTTCCGGTTCAGTTCCTTCTGTTCTTTTTCTAATCACTAATGTGGATGTTCTACTCCTACAAAAGTAATCTCCAATGATTATATAAGATAGTTTTTGAGACAAATTATACAAAGTTTCAAATTGTTACTAAAAGCTTCCCGAGTTATGTAGTTGCATAAATTGATAGAAAAAAGGACATAATTTCAAAATTAGTCCTTATGGTTTACAAAAAGTCTCGCTTTAAGGATAAAGCTACAAAATGTCATACCGATGGTATGGGGTGGGGTGTGTTTTTATTTTAAATTTAATATCATCAAAAACGAAGAATATATAAAAGAAAAAACAAACAAAAGATGTTAGAAATGACAAGATGGTCTTTTTGCATGGATAAGGACCAACCATGCAAGAAAATAAAACCACGAGGACCACCGATATGACCTAAAGTGAGACTTTTTGTATACCATAGATACCAGTTTTGAGTTTTTGTCTAAAAAAATTGGTGCCAATATACATTGTTGTATGAATCGATAAGAAATCCTAGAGATGAAAATAGAGGCGGGGAATACAGGGGACCTCGATCCCCATCCCCATCCCCGAATCCTTAATCCAATCCACATCCCCGAATCCGCATTTCAATCCACATCCTCATCCTCATCCCCACCAGGGAATATAAATGAATCCTCATCCCACCCCCAATAGGGATCAAGGATCCCTAGCGGGGAATTGGAAATTTATTTTTCTCTTTTAATATTAAAACTTTTATGTAAAGAAAAACTCCAAATTTCAATTGTACCAATATACGCTTAAAGATTTGAAAAAATATAAAAATATTCATAGATTGCATAAAAATTATAAACAAAATTTCTACAAAATTTAAATAAATAATGAAAAATCAAGTAGAAAAAAAATTATCAAAGTGATATTTAAGGTAAAATAGATAAACCATTGAGAAAAAAAAATTATACACGAAGTTAAACTAGAGAAAAAAAGAAAGAAAAAGTACAATTCAACAAAATAATTACTAATGAGTGAGTTGAATCAAATGTTAGGCATTGCAGCTCCCTCTCGTCCCGATTGATGAAAAAGAAATAGAATTGGAAAAGTCCAAAGAAGACTATATATATATATATATATATATATATATATATATATATATATATATATTATATATATATATATATATATATATATATATATGTTTTGTATTAATATATAGAGTGGCCGGGTGCAATGTCCGGGAGTAGGGGTATCCCCATCCCCATCCCCAACCTAGGTCAACTTGGGGATTTTCCGGTCAAAACGGCTGGGGTTTTGGGTTCCCAATTAAGGGTTTTTTTTTTTTTTTTTTCATCCCTGAGAAATCCATTTCATTACATAAAATGATAAATTTTAAAAATAAAAACGTGAGGGGAGAAACATGCATTTAACTCATAATAGTACAGGAAAGTGGCCTATATATTTTAACGCCCTCCAGATTTTCGATTCATACATAGTTTCCATCTCTTTTGATTTATAAGCTTCACATTTCCATTTTTCAAGAAAAAATGGAGATGAAATTGGTGGCGGAGAAGGCAGACCAGACAGTGTACGAAGGGGAAGGGGGAGCCTACTATGCATGGTCAACATCCAAATCGCCATTGTTGATGGAATCCAAGCTTGCCGCTGGCTGGCTTCTCCTTCATCCTCTTGGGTTTGCTCTTCCTCACTTTTCTGATTCCTCCAAACTCGCTTACGTTCTTGAAGGTAAGTGCACAGTTGGAATGGTGGCACCCAATAGTTCAGAAGAAACGGTCGTGGTGATCAAGAAAGGGGATGTACTTCCATTGCCGAGGGGAACGGTGTCATGGTGGTTCAATGATGGTGGCATCGATTTCACCACCGTATTCCTGGGTGAAACCACCAAAGGCCAAGTCTCCGGTGAGATGGGCTACTTCTTCTTGGTCGGAGTTCAAGGGATACTACATGGATTCCAATCCGATCTTGTCTCGAAAATCTTCAACCTCGACACCAAGGAAGCTGAAGATATAGTAGGTAGCCAACAAGGAGGTTTGATCGTTAAACTTAGGAATGGAATTGAGTTTCCAAATCCCAGCGAAGAACATATGAAAGAGAAAGTATATGCCACCATTGATACTCCGGCAGCTGATGTTGTTGTGGAAGGTGGTGGAATCATCAATTCCTTAACGGAAAAGGATTTTCCGGTGCTTGTTGGAATGGGTTTGAGTGCACGATTTGTGAGGTTGGAAGGTAAGGCTATACTGGCACCAAGCTATGTGGCAGATGGATCCGTTTCCGTCAATTATGTTGCTAAGGGAAGTGGTCGGATCCGGGTTGTGGGTAATGAAGGGAAGCCCAGTTTTGATGGCGAAGTGGGAGAAGGCTACTTGATCGTTGTTCCTCAATTCTATGCTGTAACTGTGATTGCAGACCAAAGTGGAATGGAACTCTTTTCACTCATAACTTCTTCAAAGTGAGTCATTAATTCATAATACAACAAACATACATACATACATACATAAATCATCTCTTGATAAAAAAATAAAGGCCACAAAAGATGGTGGCATAATTGACTAATTGTTATATATTGCAAGAACGAAAATTACATTTTTTAATATTCTAAACGTTGAATGTTCCTTAATTTTATGCTAATAGTTATATTTTTCACTTGTTTTATATTTTTAATTTTGTTTTTTATGTGTACTTGATTATATTTGACAGGCCTGTTATGGAGCAATTAGCTGGAAATATGTCGGTTTGGAAGGCAATATCACCAGTGGTTTTACAGTCTGCTTTGAATATCAGTCCTCAACTGGAAGAACTCTTCAGATTGAAGAATACAACAAGTTTGATGATTATTCCTCCAAGAACCTAATATCAATATATATGGTATTGATGGAAGTATAAAATTTATGGAATAAAATAATAAGACCCTCATACGAGGTCTTAATTTACATGGCTATGAGTTTGGACTCAGCGTTGATAAGTGTTTGTATTTTATTTTATTTTTAAAATAAGTTGTTTTTATTTAGTGTTTTTAAGTTTTGACCGTTAATTGGATCGTATTTTATATTGTAATTTAACATGTTTGTTAGGGCCGTGGGCAAGGTGTGCGACCGTCCCGGGCCTCACGAAATCTCAGGGGCCCTCAAGTTACGATTAGTTTATATATATATATATATATATATATATATATATATATATATATAATTTTTTATAATATAAAAGATACTCTGCAGCAAAGAATAAAATATGGATCCAGATGAGATGGTTGACGCTTGGCGCTTCAATTGTTTGAAGCAATATCGGCCATTTTTTTATTTGTCTCATAGGTTTATTTTTTTTCTTTGTCTGATAGGTTTTTAAAGTGACTTTCAGTTTTCAAAGCAAATTCTTTTACCATCCAATAAATCAAACAGGCTTCTCGGTTCGCAAAAACGAACTTTTGATTTTAGGGCTTTTTTTTTCATTCAAAAAATTGATTATGATTCAAACTTATTTTAGCAAATACTCATATTCTCCATCATCTAAGCATTTATACTCCATCGATCAAGCTCCATTCCCCCTTCTTCAGAAATTGATAGTATACAAATCAAGAAATCAGATTCATCTCTCGAATCTGATTTCACACAGAGGCAAGGACGCAAGAGTAAGACTTCAAATCTTATTTCGCTGAACTCTGAAGATTTTATAGCCTACAGTGGCTTCAGGTTTGCTGTTGGTCTAAAAGAAGTCTGTGAGAGACGGATCTCAGGATGAAGATATTCAAATTTTTTTGTGAATCAGAAATTAAACTGATTTTGTGATGGATCGTGTTCATATCATGTTTACATTGTTTTTTTTAATGAAATTCTTTTAATACTTAATATTCAAACAATATATGAACGATAAACATGCAAGGTGCTTGCTTATCTTCTTTAGCAATCTGTCCTTCAAATAATGATTCGACAATATAATGCTTGTGAATTGTGATTATTGCAAACTTAAGGGTTGTTTAGGATTAAGTTTTAAAATGATTTATTAACTTTTCAAAAAGTCAAAAATATTTGGAAAGCTAAACACATTAGTAAATAACTTTTTACCAACCTCAAAAAGTCATTTTCTATAAGTTACATTTTTTTTTTAATTTTTAAAACAATTTATACTTATCCTCCCTAATAAATAAAAAACTTTTTTTTGCCACATGTCACATTCTCATTAATTTGGCCACATATCATTTTGTGGTTATTTTTAATTAATTTTTTTTCCACATGACATTTTGTGGGTTTTTTCATTTTATTAATTTCCACATAATATGTAAATGTAATAATTACAATAAATATAATAATAAATGCATATCAATTTCATTAATTGACTTCCTTCTAATTTCAAAATTTTTAAATTAAAGTTTTATTAGTTTCATTTGTTTATTTATCTAAATTATTTGTTTAATTTAAAAGAAAAACAAACAATTTAACTTTAAAAATTTAATATTTTTCTATTTTTTTCTTATAAATTCAAACTTCTCAAATGTTTAAATTTTCATATTTTTTTCTTTAAAATGAACCCCATGTAATACATGGGTGTTACACCTAGTAAATATGAAACGACAATAATATCTCCATCAAAATCTGACATTTTAGTTTATAATTTAATATCTTTACATAAAATCTTATATATAAAAATATTAAATAGTTACAAGTATGTAAGGCATATCATTGGTCATTTAACATTTTACATATGTAAGCTAATTCAAACTAGGGATGAAAGTGGGTCCAAACCCGGACCCGGAAAACCCGAAACCGGTTAACGAGATTTTGTAGAACCGGAAACCAGACCGGTATATGGGAACCGGTTCCGGTTCGGTTCCGGGTACGGTAACGGGTAAAGTGGGTCTAGAACCAGAAAACCCGGAAACATCAAAGTGGGTAGGCTGGAACCGGATAAAGTGGGTTTAGAACCGAAAAACCCGGAAAAATCGAAATTTTTTGGTAATTACTTACTACTTAGTGGGTTGAACTTTGAAAATTTTCATATTGATATCCCGACTTTGGGGGACTGTAACTCATTGAATATGAAACAAAAATTGACAAAATTATAGTCTAAAATCATGTACAAACTCTAAACTACACTAAGGAAAAAACCGCATATCAATCCGACTTTAAACGAATAAGATATACATGTGTTAACATTTTCACAGAATACAAAGTACAAAAACAAATAGTTGAAAAGTTGAAAATTTTCAATTTTGATATCCCTACTTCGTGGTACTGTAAATCATTGAATATTAAACCAAAAATGACAAAATTATAGTCTAAACACATGTACAAACTCTAAACTACAAGTTGGAAAAAACCACATGTCAATCCGACATCAAATGAATTAGATATGCATGTTTTAAAACTTTCACAGAATACAAAAAAAACTGAAAAATTAAAAATTTTCAACTTTGATATCTCGACTTTGGGGGACTGTAAGTTAATGAATATAAAACTAAAAATGGCAAATTTATAGTCTAAAATTATGTACAAACTCTAAACTACACGTTGGAAAAAACCGCATGTCGATCGGAGATCAAACGAATGAGATATGCATCTTTTAAACGTGTCACAAAAACCGGTTCCGATCCTAAAAGTGGTTCCGGTTCCTAACACCAGTTCCGGTTTTTAGACCCGGTATACCCGGACCCGATGGACCCAAACCTGGATTACCCGAAACTCGGATAAAGCCAATTTTTAAACCCGGAACCGGAACCGGTTCTATTTATTCCGGTTTTAACGGTTCCGGTTCTGGTCCGGTTTTCCGGTTCTAAATCTCATCCCTAATTCAAACATTAAAAAAGCTTATCAATTTATATTGTTTTTTGCCATAATATAAACTAATCCAAATATTTTTTAAACCATCACATAAACTAATAAATATATTTTTTTTAAAAATTATTAAGTTAAATAGGCAATATAAACACCCCCTTATCAAGTAGGTGAATATTTCCAAACTGGTGAGCTCTTTTTGAAGAATAAATGCTTCCGCCGATAAACCTAGCCGTTCACTCTCCCTTTTCTTCATCCAAATTTAGCGGGATTTACATAAGAATTGACAACATATAAAAGAGAAACAAGTAAGAATCTTCAACCCCTTTTGCAATTCGTATATAAAGATGTCAATGCAAGTTTATTTCTAATCATCATTGAGAACATATGAAAAGTTAAACCGGGGGGATTTACAATGAAATCCCTTCATTGCACCAACACCACAAATCATTATATGACAAAGTATCATCCATTATGGAGCAACGATGGATGTGTTGATGGAGGTTTTCACAAAAATAACAGCGACCTCCCCTTACAACTGTCTCTTTGCTCCAATCTTGATCTTCATCAGCATCAGCAACAGGGAAGGTTTGTCGTCTTGAGAGATAAATAGGATGAGAGAGTGATAATATTTGGTATAGTTGGTGACTTAGGTGGTATTTGCAAAAAATCTTTTTGACCGCTTATTTCTACGTTTGGAAGACATTTGAGAAAAATACTGTTTGTTTTTCAAAAAACTAAAGACATAAAAAAGTCATTTTGATCTTCAAAAAAAAATAGTTTTTTGATTTTGGAAGACGTTTCTTTTTCCACCACCAATGTCGCAATCACCGCTTCATTATCGGTGTCACTTCCACAACCACCACCACCTCTGCCGCCCCACCCCTAGCTCTACCACCACCACCACCACCACTTCCGCCACCTCCACCATCGTCGCCACCACCAACACCACTGATCTTTTTTCATAAAGACTTTAAAAGACATACAATTTATAAAGAGACTAATATACATAGAAAAAGACTTTTGGTCCATATTTTATTCCGCAAACATGAAAAAATATTAAAGACATTTTACATTTTAAAAAACAGTCACCACAGGGGTTGAAGGGCATTTTATTTTTTTTAATTACAAAGAAACCGAGAAGGCTAACACCTTGCTCTTAAGATTAAAAATTATAGAGAAGGAAAGAAATGAGAGAATGTAATAGGAAAAAGGATATAGGAGTGATGTATTCTTAGAGGAATCGAAGGAAAATCATTGTGAAATGTAATGGTATAATCAAATTTTTTTTTCTCTTTTAATCCGATAAAAAATGAGCTCATACAAACATACCCCCCTCCCCCCTCATTTCCTTTCTCTCATAAAAAAAATAAGAACACCTTTTTTCCTTTCAATTTTCTTATTTCCTATTTGCTCCTAAATAAATGAAATCTCCAGAAATGTCATAATATTTTACCTTAATTTACGAAAAAGTCTCAAGCTAAAATTTGATTAAGAAAAAACATGAATTACCGGTAAAAATAACGATTTAACCACTTTTTTCCCGATTTATTGGTTTCATTATTTACCCGGTTCCATTAAAGTCTTACTATTTTACCATAATTTACGAATAAGTCACAAACTAAAATTTAGTGATGATTTGACCATTTTCTCCATGTAACATACATATTACTGGTTTCATTGCTGGCCTGAACGCATAGTCATTAAATAAGTTGATTTGGGTTATATAATGCTATGTTTACCATAAAACTTGATATCTTGATGTATTGTATATTTTTTGGAATATAAAATGCATCCACTGAAGACTACAAAAATTACATAAACTAGCAACAACTTCGTCATTTTTTAAGTTTATAATAAATTTCAAATTGTTTATTTAATCCTATGTAATCCATTATATATATATATATATATATATATATATATATATATTATATATATATATATCTCATTAGCTCGTTTCCCGCCCTTTTTACCGGAAACAGGGCCGGTCCAAGCCGATTTAAGGCTTGGGGCAAAAACGAAAATGAGGCCCTTCAAAATTCAAAACTTATAGTTTTTTTAACATCCAATGATTTTATTTATTAAAAGGCTAACACAGAACAGACAAATACAAATACATACAATTACAATGTGCATTACCCATCTTGTGAATATCAAGGTATTGTAAAGAAGACTTTAAGCAACACTAGCCTCAAGTTCTCCAATATAGATCCAAAACACCCAAAGAATGTAGAATAACAATGCATATTTCACTGAAATTTGAACCCCTTTACAGTTGTGTTAAGCATGCAACATCAGATAAGTACAATGTATTATTTGCTCCAAATCTGTGTCTGACTTATCATTACCAAGCCAAATAGCAATGCATATACAAGATTCTTCAATGTTTGATAAGAAAAACCCCTGAATTATAACTATTGAAACTAAAAATAACTTGCATCACATTCGACAATTATGTTCAAGTAACTAAATTTAATGAACTAAAAATCACATGCATAATGCATCCCATATTTGCAATGCAACAAAAATCGCAAACATAAAGTAGTCATCAAATAACTACTATATGAAAGAGCTACTATGTTCACCAAGACATTAATGGACCAATATGAAAGCATTTTTCAAGACACAAAAAGATTACTCCTTTAAAGAAGTGGTCTAAACATTGTCGGTCTTTAGCCCGATCAACTTATGCTAGACCAGTCAATTTATACCCTTTAATTCAAAAATTTCAAAGGGACACAGTAGAGCAATGCATACAAGTGTTCGTTTAGGTCAAGGAATATTATAAATCAAGCAAAACCAAAATAAATAATCAATACTTTTGAACTTCCTGAAATGAACCAAGGAAGACTGAAGACACCGATTTGAGGTTTATATACAGTCGCCTTAGAACATTGGGAAGCTTGAACTCGTTGAAACGAACCAAGGAAGCTTGAACTCGCCCCAAAACACAAGGTCTTAATCGACAAAGACCCTAAAATTATAAGTGAAGTATCTTTGGGAATGTGGTTTGGTTTCTTCTTACAAAATAAAAAAATCACTCTCGAAATCAAAACTCGCATTGGGAAGGCGATTCAGTTGATTCAATTGTTTTTTGAAAACTGAAAAGTCGCTTTGGGAGAAGGACCTCTTAAAAAACTATTACAAAAACTAGATTAAAAAGAAAAATACCAAAACTCGATTATAAAGAAAAGACCAAGATTCGAACACGGGGCATACCAACTCTTAAGATTGTTGCGTCGGGGCCTCAACCATCTCAACTCCAAGTACCTTTGCTTATTCAGATGTACATTATATTTTATATAGAAAAACTATACATGTATTAATCGTAATTTGTAGGGGCCCGGGATTTGGTGAGGCCTGGGGCAGTCGCCCAGCTTACCCTCCCTCTATGGTGGGCCCTAACCAGAAACACATATTTTACCGGTTTCATTGCTCACCTTACATAATCATAAATGAGTCATGAGATGTATATCAAATTTTACGGTACACATATTATTATATAACCCATTATATCAGGGCCGGCCCAAGCCGATTTGGGGCCCCGGGCAAATTTGAAAATGAGGCCCCATTTTGGACCTTCGAAGTGGATGGAATAAAATATGACAATTTAAAACAATAAGCAAGTAATCTTATTTTTTCTTTTATTATCAAAGCACATCGTATAAGCTTAAACACCCGTATGTAAAAAAAGTTACATTCAACTACATCTATCCATCCTTTTCATCAAAAAAATTAATATATGACACCCATAATCACCATTACCGTCAAACTTTTGGTTTTTACCACAAATGTTATATGGCCCACAATATGAAAATGTACAAAGTAAGTGAAAAGTGGCAAAATTGTCATTGACAATATCGTTATTTCAGTAATTTACAAGTGATCCCTCCTCTAATCTCTTTGTTTACATCTCTTTCAGTTTACCTACACAAAAATCAGAAAAAATATATATAACTCATAAATCAGAACAAATTAGAACAGATGTAAAGAGAGCATAAAACTTGTAAAACAACATCAAAAGAAGCATCACTAAGGCACAACCGAGGAAAACAAGAAATACGAGCATGATAATAAATACAAAGAAGCCAAAAAGAAGGTACCTCGAAAACAACTATTGAACTACCAATCGACAACAATGAGAAATGCCGACAACAGGGCAAAAAACCACAGCATGAGCAAAACTAGAGGAAGGGGTAAAACCGTCCATAATGACCAAAAATCATGTAGCTACGGTATAGATGATCCCAAAACGAAGAGAAAAATCGTATACACTTCCACCTCAGGAGAAACTGTAAAACATCGTAGAGAAAAACTAGCATATCAAGAGCCAAATGGAACCAGGGGCATTACCGTCTACATGGTCAAAAAATCCATCAGGGAAGAGAGCAACCCAAATTTGAACAACATGAAAATAATATGACAGCTTTTCGGTTTCTTGCTCACCCATTTATGTTTTGCCTTCTTGAAAATTGATGTGAGCCCGTGTATTACGAGTAACATCAAATAGTCATAATTTCTTATTGAAAACTGAAAACGTCATCTCTTGAAAAGGTGCCGACTTCATCTTTTAAGAAGCAAAAAAAACCTAACTACGATGTTGGGCCTTTAGCCTTGTATTAGATTAACAAGTAAATTGATAAAAATTCCAAAATATATGAACACAAAAAGTTCGAACACAAGACCTCGCACAACTACTTTAACCATCTCAACCAAAGTTACTTCTGTTTATATTTTGCATATTATATTTTATATCAGCTACATATATATAGTAATCAAAATTTACGGGGCCCCGAGATTTGGCGAGGCCCGGGGCGGTCGCCCAGCTTGCCCACCCTATTGGGCCCGCCCTGCATTATATCCATCTTATCAGCTCATTTAATGACTAGGCGTCCAGGTCAGCAACGAAACCGGTAAAATATATATTATATGGAGAAAATGGTCAAATCATCACTTAATTTTAATCTGAGACTTATTCGCAAATTCTGGTAAAATAATGAAACTTTAATGGAACCGGGTAAGTAATGAAACCAATAAACTGGAAAAAATTGGTTAAATCGTCATTTTTACCGGTAATTCATGTTTTTTCGTAAACAAATTTTAATTTGTGACTTTTTCGTAAATTATGATAAAATACTAGGACTTTTGTGGATATTTCCCTCTAAAAAAATAAAAAAGCAAGGTGTAAAAGAAATTAAAAATTATATATAAGTAATTTTATATACATTAGAGACCAACAACCATGCAAGAATTAAAAACTAATCATATAACGGGAAAAAGTTAGGGAAAGAACTTGTAAATTTGAAAAACCAGACAGACCATTTATGTAATTTTCTCTATGTTAACGACAAAAACCAAACACTTTTGTCGACCAAACACCGTTTATTCTCAATCTCCGGCGGACCATTTTCCTTCTCCACGATGAACAGTCCCTACCCAACACCGATAACCCCATCACAAACCCGAATCGGATGGATAGGCACAGGAGTAATGGGCGCTGCAATGGCCTCCCGGCTTCTATCCGCCGGCTACGTGCTCAACATCTACGCTCGAACCCCTTCCAAAACCCTATCACTCCAATCGCAAGGCGCCCATCTCGTTGACTCCCCATCGGAAGTCGCCAAAGCAAGCGATGTGGTATTCACAATGCTGGGACACCCATCAGATGTTCGACAAATTGTCTTAGAGAATCCTGATTCAATTCTATCTTCTTTAAACCCCGGCAGTGTCATAATCGATCACACTAGCAGCCACCCAACTCTTGCGGAACAGATTTTTGATGCTGCCCGCGAGAAGAATTGCTGGTCTGTCGATGCTCCGGTATCCGGTGGTGATATTGGCGCTAGAGAAGGGAAATTGGCTATACTAGCTGCCGGAGATGAAGGCGTTGTGAAGTGGCTATCTCCTTTGTTTAATTTAATGGGGAAACCGACTTACGTGGGTGTTGCTGGGTGTGGACAGAGCTGTAAGATTGCTAATCAGATTACAGTGGGTGGGAGTTTGTTGGGGTTGAGTGAAGGACTGGTGTTTGCTGAGGCGGCAGGGCTGGATAAGGGACGGTGGCTGGAGGCGGTGAGGGGAGGAGCTGCAGGGTCTATAGCGATGGATTTATTTGGGGATAGGATGATCGGAAGGGACTTTAGGCCTGGTGGGTTTGCTGAGTACATGGTGAAAGATTTAGGGATGGGTTTAGATGTTGTGGAGGAGGAGGGTGATAAGGTGGTGGTGTTGCCCGGCGCTGCTTTGTCTAAGCAATTATTTTCCGGCATGGTTGCTAATGGGGACGGTAAGCTTGGGACTCAGGGGCTTATCACAGTTGTAGAAAGGATTAATGGCAAGTCATAAAAAGAGTGTATGAATATGAACCCCTCTTTTCCTCTCAAAGTGATAAAAAGTTTGTAGCATTAATGTATCAAGTTTTAGCTTTGAGCTATTTTGTGAATTGTGATGAAGTAGACAAATTAAGAGATCAGAGTTATTTGGGGTTTTTTTAGTAGAAACTGAAAGATTCAGTGCATGCTGAACAATTAAGACGCCAGGCCTGAACTATTCAAAGGTCTAATGATTCAGTATTGTTGAGGGTGTGGTTGCCTTAGCTTTTTTACTTCAAAAGTCTTTTTTATAAAAGACCTTATTGACTTGTTACTTTTGCCAAAACATGCTTTTAAAATGTGTTTGAAATAGCTTTTAGCTAATTATAATTTTTTCTTTCTAACAAAACCAACTTCAAATTACAAAGATTATAAAAATGATCAAATAATATATAAAGTAGAATTTAAACATTCCATTGTAGTTTGATTCTATTATGTCATTGCTCCCTGAACGAGTTAAAAAGACTGTTATACCCGTATCTATTATTTTAATTATTATATTTATTATTAACTTATTAAAAGAAACTATAAAAGAAATTGTTTAATACATGTGGGTCCCACCCACCCTTTCGTCTCTCCCATCTTCCGTAGGATACATCAACTTCCTTACCTCTTTCTTACCTGTTATCTCTTCATCTTTCTCTCATATCATCATATCTAATTGCAACTTGCAAGAAACATCACATGAAATTCTAGTATCCTCTACCACCACCGGAGCGACAATCTGTGTAAACCTGATAACTATCTCTCTCTCTCTCTCTCTTATCTCTTAAGTCTTATCTTTAAGAACCCCAAATGGATGAAACTTACTAGCCATGCCTGGCTTAACTTGAGCGTCGTCCCCCAAAATAGTTGGAGCGCTTCCGATCGGATTTCACCCCCTTATAACCCGACGAACAAAAAACTTAGTTTATTTTGATTAGACAAAATTATATAAATGGTCCTCGTGGTTGAAAAAATCGACCAATTATGGTCCTTATGACGAATTCTTTACACAGATGGTCCCTATGGTTTCAAAATCTTGCAAAGACGATCCTTTTGACTAATGGAGTTAACTTTTCAGTTAAGTCCTATTTGAAATGACATATTTGCCCTTCCTCCATAGGGACGATTTATGTAATTTGTTCCTACCACAAGGACCATTTATGTAATTTTCTCTATAACTTATTATTGTTTTTAATTCATTTATATATATATATATATATATATATATATATATATATATATATATAACATTAAACAATATATTTATTTGTTAACATTTTTTAACGTTTTACTCAAATTATTTTTCTAATTTTTTTAACGTTTTCTTCAAGTACATTTATTAATGTTTTTTATTTTGACGTTTGATTGGAATATATATATATATATATATATATATATATATATATATATATATATATATATATATATATATTTTGACGTTACGTTTGAATACATTTTTCAACATTTAGTATGTTTATATTTGTTAAAGGATTGACAGGCTATTGTAATTATAATTCGTAACTTAATTCACTTTCAATCATGTTTTCAATTTTCTTTTTTCTTTTATCAGGTTATATAATTATTATTTTTAATTTCAAATATTTAACTATATAAGGTTGTATAATTATTATTTTTGTAAACTTTTTTATAAATATATATTCTATCAAAAAAATGTAAAATGTTTGTTAAACGTGAATATGATTAATATAGATTAGGTATACATATGTATAACCTGACATCCGTTTCGAATTCTGATTATCATATGTATTCCAGTTAGCCTATCTATATTAATCCTATTCAAGTTTAACAAACATTTTTACACTTTTTTTTACAAAAAATGTTTATAAAAAACTTTACAAAAATAATACTCATACAAAATTATATGTTTTATATAGTTAAATATATGAATTAAAAATAATAAGTATATAACCTTATCTATATTAAAAAAAAAAAACATGATTGTAAGTGAAGTTACGAATTATGATTACGGTGACTATAAATTCTTCAAAAAATATTTAAAAAAAATACAAAACCTAATAAAAACATTAAAAAATATATTAGAACAAAACGTAAAAGAATGAGAAAAAATTATTCCAATAGAACATCATAAAACATCAATAAATATATTTGAAAAAACGTAAAAAAAATAACAAAAAAAAATATTTGAACAAAACGTTAAAAAATATTAGCGAAAAAAATATAAAAGAAAAACATTAAAAAATATATTCAAACAAAACCTTAAAAATATCTAAATTCTAAAATATATAAATAAATTAAGTAAAAACAATAATAAATAATAGAGAAAATTACATAAATGGTCTCTATGGCATGAACAAATTACATAAATGGTCCCTATGCTGGAAGGACAAATATGTCATTTCACATGGAACTTAAACGAAAAAGTTAACGCCGTTAGCCCAAAGGACCGTCTCTACAAGATTTAGAAACCATAGGGACCATCTGTGTAAAGAATTCGTCATAAGGACCATAATTGGTCGATTTTGTCAACCATGAGGACCATTTATGTAATTTTTTCTTTTGATTATGCATGTCATTTTGGCTTTGCTGATAAAACAGGGAGGTGACATAGACAGAATCGAGTGAAGAGAATCAAATTTGGCAAAATCCACTTAATCAACGGAAGTATGTGAAGGGTTGTTGATTTATGAAGAGAATCATCAGTCTCAAAGGACAATGTTCAATTGAAAAGGTCAAAATGGGACTTTGATTTAAACAGGTGGGAAAACACCCTTAGAAGAAACCGAAGCTCAGAAAACCGGAGTTGTGGGTCGAGTTTCACCAATCGCCGGAAACTGAAGCTCAGAAAATTCGGATCCAGATCAGTATCATCAATGCCTCCACATTTCTACAGATCATCTGTACTCCATCATAACAATTGAGGTTGAGTTATAGGGACTTTTGGGGTGTAATGGGGTTTCTTTTAGTTGCAAATGGTGTTATCATGGGGTTCCTCTTTACCTAGATTTCTGATTTGCAGGTTGAAGTCAAGAATAGGGGATGTCGATGGAAGTGATTCTCTCATGAGAGTGAGGAAGATGATAAACGTTTGGGTGGATAAGGGCCTCGACCCGTTTTTTTTTCTCTCTGGGTTACACATGTGGAGAGGAGTGGGACCCATCTCTCAATATATATGAATATAAAAGTTTAAACAAATAATTAAAAATTAAAAAAAATAAGAAAGGATATAACAGTCGTTTTAAGTCGTTCAACGATGCAATAAAATCACACTATAGGGATGACCCGAGTTAAAAAAAGTTATGGATCAAATGTGCAAATCATCCCAAACCACAGGGACCATTAGTGCAATTTACTCTTTTTTTCTATGGATTACACATGAGAGAGAGAGAGAGAGAACCCATCTCTCAATATATATGAATATAAAAGTTTAGACAAATAATTAAAAATTAAAAAAAGAAATACGATAGGGTATACCAGTCTTTTTAAGTCGTTCAGGGACCAACGACGCAATAAAATCACACTATAGGGATGATCCGAGTTAAAAAAAATTTAGGGACCAAGTGTGCAAATACCCCAAACCACAGGGACCATTTGTGTAATTTACTCTTTATTTTGATTTTGCTGGTCATTTTGGTTTTGCTGATAAAACAGGGAGGTGGCATAGACGAAGTCGAGTGAAGAGAATCAAATTTGCCAAAATCCACTTGATCAACGAAAGTATTGAAGGGTTGTTGATTTATGAAGAGAATCATCAGCTTCAAAGGACAATGTTTAATTGTAAAAATCAAAATGGGACTTTGATTTAAACAGGTGGGCAAACACCCTTAGAAACCATATTCTTCATCCCCTTTGCAATTGCCTCATCTTATCGAGTTGTTTACATTAAAAAAATCCATATCTTACCTTTGATTTACAACTTTTATAGATCTAGAACAGGGAGTCATTTTGGATGAGAGGCTCATGTAACATCCCAAAAATACTAAGGAAATTTTTTTATTTTAAATAAACAAAACCATCAAACATATATCTCAAAACCATTAATGTATGTCATAGTCAAAAATAGTTATCAGAGTACAATCCCAAAATCATAAAATGCTAGACACGGGTGAATGCGTTGTGATCAGGCCGATCCCTTCCCCTTTGAATCGGAAGCACCTGAAACATAAACTTAAACCGTAAGCACAAAGCTTAGTGAGTTCCCCAAAAAACCACATACCATACAAGCAATGAGCCCCGCCCAATGAGTATAACGGGCCTCGCCCTAACTCGTATTCCTTAAGATAGTCGTGGAACTTGTGACAACCCAGAATTTCAATCTTGTACAAACCATTCAATCCAATCAAAGTTAGACTTGTTCCTGCTAACTTTTGGCACTGTTTAGAGTCTGTTTGAGCATTCTGAACTTAGTACTTCAAAGGAATAAGTGAATAGAAGTGCCAACTAAAGTTGTAACCTATCAAGCAAGCCATAAACCCTCAAAAGAGGAGTTTACGGCTAAGGACCATGAGTTTACCGTCGTAAACTCATGGTGGCCGTAAACTCCATGATATATATATATATATATATATATATATATATATATATATATATATATATATATATATATATATATATATAAGGCCTTTAGTCATTTTTCAACCACTTTTCACATTTCCAAGCCTAGAACTCGATTTTCTCTCCCAAGGATCATAAGACTTTTGCTTCCAAACTTCAAAAATGTAAGTGATTCCTTCCCTTTGTGAGTTAATACATCACTTCTTCCTGATTCACTCTTGAATTCATCCACAAATCTCATCTTTTGAGTCTAGATCTTCAAGATCCTCAAGAACACCAAGAACACTTAAGTGTTTTGGGCCGAAAACACCCCCATTTGCCTTCAAAACGTAAGTACACTATCCTTAACTTGTTGTATACTAGAATCACTTGTTAATCATCTAGAAAACTTCAAGAAATCACGATCAAAAGGGTGTTTACGGCCAAGGCAATCTCCCTTGGCCGTAAACCCTAACT